TTTCAGTAAAACTACAGTGGAATTTCATCTTTTGTTTTATATCGTTTGATTATTTTTTTATTTTTTTAAGAATCTCAGGTACTTGAACATAATACGTATTAAGCTGTAAATTAAGGCGTGGTCGTGTGTGTGATTAATAACAAAGAATACATAATATGCATTGAAATTACTTTATTTAAGTTAATTATATAGATAGACTACATAATGGAAAACGTTTAATGTCTATAAATATTTTCAGACAGACTGATGAACACTTTTCGTTGTATATCAACAAATACTAGTAAAATACAGTATCTTTGTAATGCATTTGAGGAAATAATTAGCCTTTGTGGTATTCAGAAAGGTAACATATTCTACCAGGCCCAGCCGGGGGCGGCGTAGGTTGAAATGGCGGGGGCGGCAGCATAACTGGCTATAGCGGGGGCGGCCACAGCTGCAACACCTGGCCCAGCATAGGTGGTCAACGCAGGGGTGGCCACAGCGATTTGGCGAATCTCAGCCTGTGGCACAATGGTGGCGATTGTGCGTGCTGGGGCAGCGACTGGGATCTGGGACACTGTCTGCAGTGGTGTGGCGAGGGCACCCAGAGAGGGTTTGATCACCTGAAGAGAGCACAAACCACACATACACAAACTTATCGCAAACCTATCATAAAATCGTTACTAATTAAAAATTCAATTTTACTCGAAGATGACTGCCTTATGGGTTGTTAAGCCTTGTAGTCTGTGTGGGAGTTTACAGACGTTTCAGAGGTGCTGCGTCCATCATCAGATCGGCCATGAAAGCTGCATATACCTATGAAACATCGGCATACTTCTACACAGACAGCCATCTTCATACACGCCGCCGTAGGAACTAAGTTTCAAGTTTTTGTGTTAAATTCATAAGTCTTGTCGCAATTTACTAACTAACTAATTCTGTTGAGAAAAGTATTTCTTGATAAACTGATAGTTTGCTCAGCTAATTAAGAAATTTCCGTATTTTGTGTAAACATAGGTTTTATTGCCAGGTTCATTAGAGACCGTCAATGGCCCCTATGAATTCAGTCCACATCATCCAGTCCTATTTCTTTAAGGTACATTTTAATATTATGCTTTTCCTCTAGTCTATGCCTGGATTTCCCGAAGGTTTCTTTTATTAAAATTCCCGTACTCAATTTTTGTACACATTTCATACCTCAAGATACTATCCCAGCATTCGCTCGGAGGGACTGAAAAGATCACGAAAATCATCAGAATTTTATTCTGCAAAGGCAATTCGAACCAGGTACCTCCAGAATAAAAGTCAGAATGGTTCTTGGTTTTGGCGACTTGCTCGATTATCTTTTATTTGAATTTAACCTACCATAAACTAACAGCCATGATCATTCAGTTAAAGAGTTATTTGGAATGTATGCTAGTCTTTTACATGTAAGATTATTTCTAACAATTAATATACCTAAAATTTAGGTTAAAATTGTTCTGTTCAGGGTTGATGCAAAGTTGTTCGGCACCCTAGGCAAACCTTCAACGTCCCCCCCCCTTTCGCATTCAATATTCGAAAATAAATATTGTGCATTAGTATGCACAATGCAATTTGATCATAGAAATTAATCATGTTGTGGCTACAGATCACGCAAATGCATAAAATAGTGCGTAAGTTTTAATTTTTTATTTTATTTAGTGTTCTGTCTGATGACAGGTCCATTATTCTGCCCAAAAAGAGTTCGCCAGTTTTCCCTATTCTCAGCTTCTCGTTTTAATAACGACTAATAAATTTACTTGCCAACTAATTTTTCTAGATGTAACCCGTAAATACGAAATAAAACTGAACAAAAGCGAAACAGAATTTATTAGCAAAAGATTTGTCGTGCAACTGACAATGACGACTGAAGGTTCACATTCACGAGGCAATTGTTTTTATCAGGAAATGTGTCGACTAGTCACATTGCCGATTTCGCTATTTCATGGTGTTTCTTTTTTATTTATTCAGTTTCTGCCACTTTGGGCGACCACGTAGTTTTACCATCGGTTAAACCGGCAATGATTTTGTTATACTAAATCATTAAACTTAGTTCTCTTTGTTACGGAACTAAATTATAACGATGCTGGGTACCGTAAGCCTACAGTGTCTCTTCGAAATCTTTCACGTATTCTGAGACGGAGAAAACACGTCATTTATATCTTCTCATGGATCCGAGCATTGGTTATCAGTCCTCTGGCCCTGTCATGAAACTTTTAACAACTACTGGTACGAGAGGACATTGGCGTAACCTTACCTGAGAAGTATATCCTGTAACCACGGGGGTGGAAGCGTACTGAACAGTCTTCGTGATGGCTGTGGCTATGGGCGCGGCGGCGGCGATTGTAAGTGGAGCGGGGGCGGCATAAGCTGCTATAGCGGGGGCAGCAATGCCACTGGGTCGTGCAGCGGCGAGCACCAGAACAGCTGACAACACCACCTAGGACACACAGGTGTAATACAGGCGGATGTTTATGTGGCGAGAAACGGAACTATTCATTCAAGGGAACCCGTTGCTAGGAGACGGCACCATTCGGTTTAATATTTACAAACTTCAGCTCTCTCACAGGCTGGATAACCAACCACTGACCTTTGATATACCATAAGAACTACATCTGTAACCAATGTACGTCTAGAGGAATGTGCAAAACTATATTTTTACATGTTGTTATCTTAGAGAAATAGGGTCGGGAGGTGTGGATTGGATTCGTCTGGCTCGGGTAGGGGCTAGTGGCAGGATCTTGTAGAAATGGTAATGAACATTTTGGTTACATCAAAGATGGTTATTTTCTGAGTCATGAGTGGGTGCATTAAGGTCAGAATATATGTAATTAATTTCCTGTGAATTATTAATTACTTTTTTTTTATTACTAGCAGAAAATGTTAAAATAAAATTCACACTCAAAAAGTGTAATTATATGTCAGTATCGACAGCGTGTCTTAAAAGTCTCATTTTGTTACGTCAGTGATCGAAGTAACCAAATCAGATTTTTTTTTAAAGCGCTTTTGAAAACTTTAGACCTGGTTTTCAGTTTTCTTTGGTCTTTTGAAGCACTAATCTAATCTAATCTAAATAGTATTTAAAAATTAATTTCTTGTCTCAAATAAAATTAAAGCGTCTCCAATACGAAGATAAATTGATTAATGTTATTTAGGAAAACTGTCGCTGTTCATTCTCAGAATCTCGCACACAAGCTGTGTGTCGCTGTTCATTCTCAGAATCTCGCATACACGCTGTAGGCAAAATACAGTTATTGATTTTAAAGTAGGTGGTACATGTAGTTACCATTAATCTTTAAATAGTTATTACGCCAGAATTTGTTTATGATGGACTGAGAATTTATTCTGTGCATTCAAAATTAGTGTAGTAAGATTAGAATAAAAGGTTGCATTATGTTTCAGTCGATAGAAATCGAACACGTAGTTTCTGCCAGGATAGTGTTAGGGATGTTTCTACTCACCAACTTGAACATTTTGATGTGGTTCTGAGGTCTGTGTTGCTGCTAAGCGTGAAATGTGGTCCATAAAGTGTAGGGCACAGTATTTATACCAGAGAACTCCCAGATCGGGCGTGGCTTCACGCGAATCTGTCATTCCGGCGTGTTGACCTTGTTGTAATGCTCTACCCTCAACATCTTCCGTACCGAAAGAGGTACCATGTGATGTGTAAAGAAATAACTGTCTTGTGTCAGGAAATTCCTGAAATAAACTCTCATAAATCAAATTTTGTCTTTGATTAATTTGCCTTTATTTGTCGATGTTGAGTCTTCCGAGCAGTAACGCGGTGTGTAGGTAGACACCAACGTTTCGAAGGAACATCCTGCCTCTGTCTCCGGGGCTGCAGATGGGGGCAGTATGTTCGTTTCCCCCTATAAGTCCACGCAGTGTTATGATCTAGATGACCGATATGGACATATTTGCCACCGTCAGTTTCTCATCGTTATTATATCAGGTTAAAGAAAAAGACAGAGAAAATCTGATGCAATTTCCTGCATTTATTAACACTTCAACCACGAAGTGGGTTAGGCATCCGGTAACACAGAAAAATGTAATATTTTCTCTGACGCCATATTAGGACTGGTTGAAGTCAATTCCGGCTTTTTTATCTTTAAAAACTATTTTATTATGTCCACAGGCCTGCATATTTTGCTTGCACGAAAAATTCAATTTTGGAAATTTCGCATCATTTTTTTTTCTTTTATTACAGTTAAGTGTTTGTCGAAGGGTAATATTATTTTAAAATGAATCTTGAAGAAATACTATATGAGTCTGTGGATTTATTTTGTCAATCGTAATATCTACACAGTTTGACTACAGAGCGGGAACTCTGATGAAAATGCTTTTATATGTCAAGAAATTACCGCTTACAGGCTTGCATTTCGTATTAGTCCATATCTGTTCAATACACAATTACAGAAAGACCGACCGATCGGCGTGACATTTGCCCAAACATTCATTGCTACTATCTTCGTGGTTTCTGTACCTACAGAGCCAGAACTAACGGCCCATTGCTCTAGAAATTCATCACTCTGGCGACAGATGTCAGGATAAGAAACCTAGTGCAATCTGGTATTGTAGTGTCCCCTGGCGGAAATATTCCATATCGGTCAGTTATCACTGCGTCAGTGGTCAGGCATTGAGCTTGACCTTGAGTCATATTCATCCCACTTCAAAACTGAAAATTCATTTCCGGTTTTTCATAATCCTGCTTGACGTTTTCAGAGGCCACTCATGGGTTTCATATTGTTTTCACAATAAACAACAAGTATATTATTAATGATATTAAAATTCATTTGCAATGTTAACGTGGTGTGTTAAATAGCCAAGAACTGTGTTTGTAAATGGTACTTAAATAAGTTTTATCCTTTAAAAGTAAAATGTTATCCATGCAAATTCTTCCCCGTGTATCCAAATGAGAGCTTCCAAATAGATTTAACAATGAAAATGTAGTTTATTTTTGTTCCTTGGGTTATTTAAGGACGTTTTCTCAGCATACTGAACCAGATCAAGCATGCCACTTCGTCGCATTCTAATTCTTCAAGATACATTTTAATATTATCCTACCATCTATTTGGTTTCTCAAACTTTCCAACTAAAACACTATGTGTGTTTTATATCTTTCCCATGCGTGCTGCATGGCCCGTTAATCTCAGTTTCTTTGATTTTGTCAACCTAAGAATGTTCTGCAGTTGTTCCTATCAACTTTATGTCAAAATACTTTTTTCAGCATTTTGTTCTCAAGCGAGATTATTCTTTGTTGTTATTCCCATTGGGTGAGACACTCAAGTTTCTCACACAAATAAAACATTAATTTAATCTTTACGTAGGAGACGGGAAGACGAAAATATTCTAAACCGAGTGTCAGAAAAGATTCCCCAAATTTAATATACTCTTAATATCTTTGTAAATGTAATATTCATGAAACGTAAATATTTGTGACTAGCTAAACTAACTCTGTGGAACAGATTCTGTTGAAAATGTAATAGTAAGCTTAGCTAGTCCACAAATTCCCCGCGTTTTATGGAACCTGAAGCTTTATCACAGTGTTCGTAAGGGACCGCCACCGTTCTATCTCCTGAGCCCAGCAGCATTCAACCCTGTTTCCATAAAATCCAGTTAAATATCCTCCCATTTTCCCCCCCAAGTCTTCCGAGTGGTCCCATCTCTTCAGGTTTTTCCAACCGAAATTTTAAACACATTTCAGTTCTGCCCAATGCGCGCTACGTGCCTCGACTGTTACTCTCCTTAATTTGTTCATCCTAATAATTTTGTGAGTACATATTATGGATCATCTCATTATGCAATTTTGTACAGCCTCTTGTGACTTCATCCCCTTCGGGTCCAAATATTCTCTTTAGAGCCCCTGGTCTGGCAGTTTCTGTTCGTTTCTTCTCAGCCGTTGGTAAACTCCCTGTGTCCTGTGGTAGGATTAATTGAAACCTATGTGGCGTGCGTTGTTCATCTTTATGACTTTGGTGATTTTACGAAACCAGGTCAATTTAATTTGTACCTGTGCAAGCATGTAAGGCGACTGTCAATTCTCTTTTAAGAGTTCTGCACAGTAAATTACTTTTCATGTCATCATACCAACCGTCTCTGCCTAGCTGCGTCGTACATCATTTTTGTCTAATGATTTTTGGTGCTGTTACGGTGTCTCGATATCGGCTTATTAGCCAGCCCCCCAGGTGATACACGAGTTAATATTAGCGGTCGAATGGTACTGAAGGACTCGGAGAAAAATCAGTAGGTGCCACTTTGTCCATCACAAGTCCCACGTGGACTGACCTTGGCGTAGCCTTGGTCTTCCGTGATGAGAAGCTTGCGTTGTGTCCCTGTGTGTACACGAAAATGTTTCGTTCCTAGCCAGATGGGTTTATAACAGCAATGGAATTTCAGTCTTGTTTAAGTAATGAGGTAAAATACATCTAAAAAGGCGTGTAGTGAGTGAAAAGAGAACCTGCAGTTTGAGAAGAGGATTTCCCTGTAGGCTTTATAGAGTAACACTAACCTACATTTCTTACCTTATTTGCTAGCAGAATTTCAAAAAACACGAAATCGGTTTATCTCTTAAATATAAAATTTATCACAGGCCTGCTAAATTTTTACTCATATGGATTGGGCCGATAAATAATTTAATAACGCTAAATCAGTTTTAAAGATTACACCTGTCCTAATGAGCAGATGATTGGATCGTGTGTACAACAGGCATGTCGAACCGAATGTGTGATATGGGACTCTTAAAATGCGGGAGTCGTTGCATCGGTGTGGAAAACAGTCTATTAAAACTGGGGCGTTCTGAGCCGCACAACGTGTATAGCTCGAGAACTGAGTCGGGCCGCATGAAACATCGAACAGCCCGGCGAGGTTGGCTTGCCTGATGTACAGCAAAGTTGAAGCGATTTGGGAGACGCCCAGTTTATTAAAATATCTGTAAGAAGATCTGGTCAGGATTCGAACTAGGTGTTTCCGTAACACACGTCAAATTCAGAAGGGAGTATTGGAATAGGGCTTTCCATCAAACACACAAGACATTAGCACAGCAGTATCAATTACTTATGTTGTTTATTTAAGTATTTCGATTAACATCGTCACACGGTGACATAAATACAGTAACTTTTCATTTAATGAACTAAAGTAGGAACACCGTAGGCGATGGGTGCGGCGACCGCAGGGGCGGTGTAAGCCAGAGGGGCGGCGTAAGCCAGGGGGGCGGCAGCAGCGACCACTGGAAGCCTTGAAAGACACTTTGTATGTGTTGGCGTAAGACGTGGCCACGGGGGCGGGGGCGACAGCTAGAGCGGGGGCGGCAGCGTATGTAGCGACAACAGGAGCGCCCAGGTAGCCAGCCGAAACGGCGGCGAAGAAGAGAGGCAGGAGAATCTGTGGAAAATGAAACAAGTTTTTTTGTAGGAGCTGTGCGAAACAGATGTTAACGCCTGACGCATACATAAATACCTACCGAGTATTCTCATATGTACGTGTTTCAAATATGGCGCATTAAACAATAAAGAATACTCAATAATCTGAGACAAACAGAAGGTAAATTATGAACATTTTAAATTATCGTTAACGAAGTTTATATAAACTGAAGACTGTAATTTATTGTAAGTAAGAAGATTTCTGTCTTCTGGGTTCTTGCGCTGGGTAGTCTGGTCGATGAACCCAGAAGACAGAAATCTTCATACTCATCGCCCTGATGACGGAGGCAGTATGACCTCTGAAACGTTGGTTAACATCGACCAGACTACACAGCGCAATAACCCAGAAGACGGAAATCTTCACACTCACCGCTGTGAAAACCTCAAATCTTATATTGTAAGTAATATGAGACGTGCCTCACTCTAGTGACAATATCACAAAATTGGTACGTGATTATTGAATATTGTTGGTTGGCTCATTACCGTTGATTTATGTATTTGTTACTCTAGGTCGCTGCACTCAGGGGCGGCAACCTTCAGAACAGAGTTCATTATCTCGTCGTACAATTAATATTGTCAAGGGTCATAACAGTATCGTAGAACGTAGTTATTGATGTCAGATCGTCTACACGCGGAAGTAACCTGCCTCGAAATTCGTGGAACCCTCAAGAGAGTGATCATTTTAACGGAAGAGGTTGTGACCTTAACGTACGAATATTAAAGAGACAATATTTTGCGTTGCTTTTTTTAGAACCGGAACGAAGCCAACGATTTCTGTCCGTACAAAAAAATATGTTTAATTAATTGCCCATTCGAGACAGGAAGTGATATGTGAATTGAGAATGTGGTATAATGAGGTGCTTTATCGTGAAGTTGGTGGTCCTTCTACGCAACAATTTTTTATTGTAGTCTCAGTGTTTATTAAGATCAACGCGAATGTTGTCTGTTTCAGATAGGTATACAGTTCAGCAGTCATGTCTGTTCGTTTCGAGAACTTAAAGAGATGACCTGTAGATGATAGATTAAGGTCGAAACAAGTAAAAAAAATTGTGTACTTTAATAAGCATTGAGACTATAATAAAAAGTTTGGTGTGGGTGGACTTCCAACCTAATGCATGGTGCATCCATTTAAACTTCAGGAGTTTTATAATGAAGTCTTAATGAGTATAATGAAAGTGGTCAATTTAGTGAGGTTGAGGGGGGGGGGGGGTTCAACTTTAGCCACATCCAGTTTAAAGAGTATGCAAAGTATGCGATCGTCTAGGGCGGTCAAATTGCAGGACCGCAGAAAAATAAGGTTATGATAAATAAACGGAGGAAATAAGACCATAAACGATTTAAACATGTTTTGTAAAACACATGCAAATCCGTTAAACGTTTCCCCACTCAACATTGGCTCC